CTTACAGGCAGAGAAGTAGAAAGCAGGAGGTGTTCCAGAGTTCAGAAAATTATTTGTGAACCAATAAATTTTGATAGCAACTTTAGGGCTGATCTAAAACATCCTCCTCTTTCTCTTCCCATTTATAACTTCTTTAGTCAAGCTTATGGCATTTTTTGGAAAGAACGATCCTGATGTCCCAAATCACACAGAAGAAACCGTGACTTTCTACACAGAGGCTTGTCACAGCCAGGCTGCACGTCAGCTCTCGCCTTCCTGCCTTGTAACGAAATGTCCTTGAATTTATTTTTAAAACAGAAGGGCTGACCAGAGCTCTGAGCAGTCGGAACTGATGCACATCCTCCCCCCTTTCCTGCACCAAACGACGATAAATGATGTGGTCTTGTGAAATCGATTGATGCCAGACACTCAATGCCAGGCTCATGGACGTTTTAATAGAGAACATTTTAGCTGGGCCTTGTAGGAGAAGATGCAGCTATTAAGCTGAGAGATAAGAAAGGTAGTCGATGGAATAAAAATGCTCACCCACCTGAGTTTATAACCCAAATGCAAGATGTGAGCACAGGCAGGATAAAGGTTGGATACTGGGCAAGGTGGCAATTGAGTTTTATAGGACCCCATGAATTAGTGACTTCTAGAGCAACACATTTGGATTAGCAGAACTTGATTGGCTATACCCTCATGTCTCTCCCGGGCATGATGCTGTTACTTTCAAAAGATGCATCACTAAGGTCTTTTGCCCCCAGATGTCTCAGCGGTTGAGGCAGAGACAAGAACCGGTTTTTCTTTTCTTCCTTGCACAGCATCCAAGGGAAGCATCGAACATAATTTAACATCTTAGAGATTTCCACTCTATAGGGCCAACTGAGATTATTTCCATCCTATAGGGCCAACTAATTTGTCATCCATAAAGCTGTGGGCCACTGGAAAATCTGTGCAGTGTCCATGGAAAACCACAGTTTGAAGCAGTACTGGATGAGTTATTACTTCGCTCACGAAAAGGAATCACTAAATAAGAGCAATAGGAGTGCCTCTGAGAAACTACGTAGGAATAGAAGGAAACAGAGCAGCAGCAGAATCTTTGGCAAAGTGTGAGGAAGCTGAATTCCCCATAGAGGGCCACCCTAAAGATCCCAACAGTGATCACTTGCTACTTCTGGCAATTTCTTCCTCCAGGACCCCAACAGTTATTGCCCAAATGGAGGAGGAATGAGGACCAGATTAACACTAACCTGGGACTGACCTGATCGCATCCCTTGTGCCTCAGCAACCTGGCAGGTCAGAATGCCCTAACTCCCCCAACCTCAAAGTGACTGACACATCTCCCCAAAAAGGAAGTCAAGAGCTATACCTTCGCATCACTGGAAGGAGAGGAGTGAGATTAGAAAGCACCGTGCTTTCTGGCTGAGGGCGCCTGCAGGCCCACACACCATGTTGCATAACCACTAGGCTGAGGTCTGTTAACACAGATTGTACATCAAAAAAAGATGGCAGTTCAAAACCCAGAGTGATGTGCCTGATGGGCGGCCCTGCCTAGGAGAACACACTAACGTCTAGGTGTACTAACATCTCTGCCTTCCCAGCCCCGGGATGTGACCCGTCCACTCAAGGAGGCAAAGCTCATGACTGCAAGGCAGAAGGTTCATCAAAAGAGCCAAGCTGCCCATTTCACATGCTTCCATGTTCATTAGCACTTGTGTGAAGAAATGTCATATGATGTGTTGGGACCCAACCTGTATCAGGGGAAGAAAATTATTGTACGTATTAGGTTGATTCGTGTGACTTTTCTGTCTTTGTAACAAAAAATGGTCCAGCTATTGTCAATTTCATATGGTCCACCTGTACTTAGGCTGGAAAGATGAGATGAGAAAAGTAGGCAGTTGGATAAAAAGGCTGATCTCCCAAAGCCCCTGGGTTTATAAGCGAACCTCAGAAGCTCAGCGCAAGCAAAATAAAGGTTAAATGAGTATGGGGAAAGTCCGTGGTCAAGTCCCACAGGAACCCAGCTGAGCCCACAAAACCTGTCTAACCAGGCTGATGGATGACGAAGGGGCCAGAGATGGCCAGGTAAGTCTTAGACAAACAGTGAGAGATGAGTAAGAGAAAAAAATAGTTCCTTTTGTCAATCTAGGATCACAAAGATTAAAAGGTAAACTCTCAGCGTAAGCTCCTTGGAAGCAGTGCTCAAAATAATCCATGTGGAGGTGGAGGTGTTTTCTCCTTTCCTGGTCTCACTGTTCCCCCTCTAACTGTGAAGACAAGCACATTCCTCTTTCCTCTCCTATGAAGACATCATCGTTTGGCAGCCCTCTCTTAATGCAGCCCAAGCCTCCCTGACCTCCTGTCTGGGAAAGAGGTGTGTGTAAATGCAAATGCTACCAAAGGTGGTGTCTCTTTAGAGCCCAAGGGAACCGACAAGCTCAGAGCTCAGCAGGCTGCAGCTCAGTTTTGCCAGCAGGCTCCGCTCAGCTCAAGGATGAAGACTCAGACTCCGGCCCCGCTGTCCAGGGACCACAGCAAACAAGGAGAGACATAACACAGGGTCCGTGTGCCCAAATGAGTGCGGATCAAAGAAACAAAACATTTCAATCAGAAGACTTCAAAACCAGAGGCCCAAACATGTTGAATGGCTTTGCTGTGAGATGGTGTCTCCTTCTCCCCCCACCCCATTTTTAATTTTCTCTCTTCAAATCGAAACAGAAAAAAAAATAGACCCCGACAGCTCCAGCTTCAGCCTTGGTACATCATCAAGAACTCATTCCAAAAGCTCTAACTAGATAACTAATTTCATACACTTTGCTTCAAGGTTTATTCCTTGGCTTGCTTCCCAGATACGAAGCATCTCTGGGCAATTATCGTGCAGATGCCACTAGAAGGACTCTCACTGCCTGCTGCTAATTTCACAGGAGCTGTGCTGGCATTCGCTGGAGATGGGGAAAGGAATGCAAAACGTGCCACAGAACCCAAAACATTTGTTTTTAGAAATGAAATATGTGGAGTAACTTTTAAGTGGTTTCCTTTGGGCTTCGATATAAACTTTGGCTGGGAAATTGGACAGCAAACCTACAGTGCCCTGCGTTTCCTGCATTAGCAATTACTCCCGCAGCAGAAAGAGACAACGGCGGATGGGTTGAAAGGCAGCGCGCATGTGATGAGCTCCCAGAGACAGCGGTTCTACGTGCTGTCCAAGTGAGACTCCATCTTAACAGAGCCCACACTGGGGCCTAAGAGGCAAAAGAGAACTACCGATGGTGTCCGTCAAATAAGCCAGGAACCGCAGACCGACTGTGAAAACACTCCTAATGGCAGACTATCCCAAGGATGGGAAGGGTCTAAGGAGAGGCAGCACATACCTCTTTGCCTGTCAATGATCTAAGTTCTGAGCATCTCCTGATGAGGGTGATGAGCTCTGTTCCACTGAAAATAGAGGGCATACTCATGGTTTTCTTTTCCAGACCACGTATGCAAATTTCACAATCCACAGTGCTCAACTGAAGTTAGCCTCCTTGACTGCTTCTTCAGACTTGGGAGAAGAGGAGAGGAGGCCCTCCCGCACGAGGTACTCTCAGTGTAAACGAGAGAACCACCGCCACCACCACACTGGGCCAGATGTGAAACCGAGTTGATTCCTATTTCGAAGGAGTTCATTGGGAATCCACTTCCGCACCCATCTACGGGCTTGTAGTAACCGGACATCACACACGCATGCTCTTAACAAAATGCCAGCAGTGGAGGAAGGCACAATGGAACACCCATGAATGTCAATTTGAAGAAAAGAACCACCGTTTAAACGTTGTGTTCAAGAACTAGATGACAGAGAGGAAAATTTCCTAAAATTCAGCTAGAGGCAAAATGTGTGGAATAGGATTTACTGTGTACTGACCTAAAAAATTCAGGACGCTGACTGACGTAGGCTCAGGAAGAGACGAACAGAAGAAAACCGCAAAGGAACTAGAGATCAGGGCGTACGGAGAACAGGAAGGCAGAGAACAGGCTTTGTGCGAGACAAATCCCAGCATCCTTCATCAGGTGGCCAAAATGTGGACCACAGGGTCCCGATGGGCTTAGTTCTGATCTTGCAGGGCCAAAGGCAGCAGCACAGCCGGAGAGGGGGGGTCACACTCAGTGTGGTTCCTGGCCAGGGCCCTGCTACCTCGTGCCCAACAGCCCCCGTAAATCAGCCTTCCCAACTGCTCCCTCGATAACCTTTCCAGTGACTTGGTGACTGACGGAAAGACAGAACGCACCCACCTCCTCGGCCCGCAGGCCCCTGTCCAGCACACACATCCTATTTAAACAAGAAACAGTATCCAGGGCCTGCCTGTCTCCTTTCTCTTCCTGCTCTGGTCCATTATCTCCTCTCAGTCCGGCAAGAGGCCTAGCTGCACAGATTGCCTGGCCCTGAGCCTCGAAGACCACCCGACGGGGGCTCACGGAGCAAACAGGGAGCAGTAGCAAATACCGAGGGTATGGTGCCCCGCAGGGCAGCACAGGCTCCGGAGTCCGGCATAAGGAGTGCTGAGGAGACACAACAGAGAGGCCCTCGTTCACCTGGGTGAGGGCCATCTGGTGAAAGGCAGCCTCTCCTCTAGCTGCTCCTGTCTTTGACTCAAACTTGGGGGTGGGGGCTGGGAGAGACAGTGGAGGATGAGGGCAGAAGAGAAGAAGGGAGGTCACTGGCCATCAAGGCCCACGAGCCCCAAAATGTAACAGTGTTGTTGCGTTGTGTGTGTGCGTGTGTGTGTGTGTGTGTGTGTGTATTTTCCTTCAGGAAGGGCCTTGACCTTATCTTTGTATTTTAGGACGAATTCATTTTCTTGTCATCTCGGATCTGAACGTGAGCAATGAGGCTGATCGATTTCAGGGTTGGTTACTAATCTGGCTGAAGCTTCATTAGAGATGTGTTCCCTTATGCGTCTGTCCCTGAATCGATCCGCCGGGCAACCTTCCCTACTGACATATTTACAATGCAGATCAGTCGAAATGTGGTTCAAAAACAGTACTCTATTACTGTGAAAACATTATGCATTACAATGATTCACAAAAGTTATTCAAAAGGGAAAAAAATAAATTATCTCCTATAAAATAACATAGTATGCTGATGAAGAGTCTTGGCTCACGCCTTCGGGGAGCCGGCGACCTGCCTGCTGTGGCCCTCCGCGGCCCACAGGGGGAGCGGGTGTTGTCTGGAGGTGCGTCCCCATCTGCAGGACGGCCTGGGTCCCTCTCCCAGGAGCTGGGCCGGGGGCTAAATGAGTCTGGAGTTCTGGAGGAATTGGATGAGCACTTGGTAGACGAACTTGTACTGGGCGATGGTCTGGATCATGAACATCCTCTGCTCCCTGAGGAGCCTCAGCATTATGGGCACCTCCACCTTCTGTGAGGAGAGAGAAAAACGCAGGATCCTGGGTGAGGAGCTGCCCGTGGGTCCTCCCCTGTTCCCTCTTCCAGGAAGCATTTGCTTACCGCCCATCTGGACGTACAAGAGAAAGCAAAGCTCGGCCCCTCTAAGTTTTCCCAATCAAAGACCGCACCCCAGCAACTGGAGACGCTGGCCGCCACGTGCCAGAGACAACACAGAGGCCCGAGTCACACCCGACTGGCGTTCTCAACTCCACCAGAGCCCAGAGGCAGGATTCCAGGCATCTCGGCGTCTTCGTTTCTTCCTTCGTAAAATAAGAACATTTATATTCTCCTCCAATGACCACGTGGCCTCGCCCACATCAGCAACGTTTCCTCACCAGTAACATGGGGTGATCAACAGTACTCACCTCACGGGATCAAACAATGAAATGCATGTAAAGCATTTTTTTTTTAAGTTTATTTATTTTGAGAGAGAACAAACAGGAGCGGGGGAGGGGCAGAGAGAGGAGGAGAGAGAGAATCCCAAGCAGGCTCTGCACTGTCAGCAGAGTCTGACGTGGGGCGCAAACTCATGAACCACAAGATCATGGCCTGAGCCGAAACCAAGGTTGGGATGCTTAACCGGCCGAGCCCCCCAGGCACCCCCACATGTAAAGCATTTAGCACAGTGTAGGACACTGTGAGCTCTTAATAAAGACTAGTTGTCATTATTAATATTAACGAAACGAGAATAATCATACTCTTCTGCTAACTTGCAGAATCGTGATCGTTATCAAGTGTGATCATATATGTGTCAAGTTTACAAAATATCAAAGCACACTCTCTGAACACCACTCATGGCTGGTTGGTTGACTGACTTTCTTATTCAAGTGGTTCTTCTGTTTTTACCTCTTCCTTCACACCCATTTTCAGAAATATTATCAATTCTTAAACGTTTGGGGTCTTCTCCGGGATAACTAGGCTGCTTCTCAGCTTTTCTTTTAGAAGTTTTTATTTATTTACTTTTTTAAACTGTTTACTTATTTGTTTTGAGAGAGCCAGAGAGTGTGTAAGCAGGGGAGGGGCAGAGAGAGAGGGGGAGAGAGAATCCCAAGCAAAGCCCAACGTGGGGCTCGAACTCACAATCCGTGAGATCACAGCCTGAGATGAATTCAAGAGTCCAACACTTGAACCGACTGAGCCACCCAGGCGCCCCTTTAAGCTTTTATTTAAAGTCCAGTAAGTTAACGAACAGTGTAACAGTAGTTTCAGGCATGTAATGTAGTGATTCAACACTTTCACAGAACACCCGGTGCTCACCATGACCATCATATTTACAGTAAAAGCTTTTCACTAAAAATATCTTGACTATTAAATAAGATCGCCTATATGTAAGTTCTCTGAGGATTCACAAGCAGCTTCCAAAGAAGGGAATTGAGGCGGTGGGTCATTCAGGCTGCTTCTGGGGCCTGCTCGGTCAAGTTTCCCTTCCCTCTGGACCAGCGGGGGAGGAAGCATCATGGGGTCAGCAATGCCCTCATGGCCTCAGCACGCTGCCCTCTCTCTGGAAGCTCTTCACCCAGGTGACGGGCACCCCCGTGAAGCTGTCAAGGACTGAGCAACCATCGGAGGTGAAACGATAAAAACTCAGCTGTGCGTCTTTTCTTCCTTTCCTTTTATGAGTCATTTCCACAATTTCCAAACTCTGGGCAGCTATAATATAACACTTGCCATCCTTATCAGCTGCTCTTCTCCAAAAACAGTTAAATAGTGCACACCGCGGATTTAAAAGGGACAAAGTCAAGTCCCTAGTAGTAAGTAAAGAGAAAAGGGCGGGTGACTCCTCAAACTCCTAGCCACAGTACACAGCCCGCACCATAAGCTTCTGATGGTAACTGGCGAGTCTCTGCCTACACGCTACTCCAAAGTCACTGATACCACGAGGCAAAACCTAGAGCCACCTGATCATGAACTTCCGTAAGAACATAATGCTCGATGAGCATTACTCAGCTGGGTGCTGAAGACACAGGGTAGACTAAAGCTGTTCTTCCCCATCCCCCATCAAGGTTTTGACAGAGAAGCGGCATCACACAGAAGTTACCAGCACAGGCTTGGGTCAGGCTTTGCCGAACCCCAACCTTCACACTTCCTGGCTGTGGGGCATGGACACGTTCCTTCAGCTCCTACTTCAGAGTCACTGTGTGTCACACAAGGGCACTAGCAGGACCTCTCTCGTAGGGTTACTGTGAAGGCTACTTGAGTCGTTGCCAGGCGCCTCGAATGGTGTAGGCACATGATTAAATATAGGTTAGTTACTGTTACTGTAGTACTGGCATCACCACCCTCTCTACCTCCGCCACCTCCACCACCTCCACCATCATGATCATTACCATCTCACTAGCCTGTAAGACACGCCCTAAAGATCGTATCTTATCTGATAAGAGGCAGTTAGGAGACAAGACAAAGAAAGCTCCTCTGGAAATCAAAGAGTCCTAGTTGCCTTGAAGATTCACTCCCACAGTCTCTGCTGTCCCTCGTCCTTAACCCCAATCATGCAGCAGTTGATGGCTTGCTCAGTCGCCCAGAAGTCATTTTCTCCTCCCTGATGGAAGGGATAACTTCTTCAGAAAAGCAGCAAGGTAAGACACCTCGTTATTTGGCTGGTGAGAACCGAACCTTTTATAATTAGCTACTTTAGGAGAGAGAGCTAAATCCGGGGAGGGCGCCAAGAGAGGGGACTGCAAGCCGTAAAACCAATGCTCCCGGCATTTAAAATGTCAAGGTAACGTTCAGTGACCAAAAGCAATGGGTCACGGAGAGGTTTGTCAGAGAGACCTGGGAGAATACCCTCTCCCCCCACCCCCCACAGCCGCCTGAACTCCCTGTACGCATTTTTATCCCAGGAAGAAGAAAAGGCATTTCACTGATCAAATGAAAACTATGGATTACAGACTACAGCATACAGTGTACTAAGTCCAGAAGCCATGGAGAGAGGGCAGGAAAGTTTAGAACGGAGAAAAAGGAACTACACAATTTCAGATTTATTTGTCAAAATCTTTGTTTAAAGCCACCACAACAAAAAAGCTAAACATGTTCTACTCTTCTCCCAAAATAAGGGTTTGAATCTTATGACCAGGCCTGAAGCAGAACAGAGTAGAGAACTTCTTTTCTCCCTCACCATCTACCAATGGCAACGATGGGAAATGGGCCAGATAAGGCTGGCTATATTTGTGCTAGGGGAAGGGAAGTGAAAAATATGAGTCATCTTGCTATCTTTGAATATCAATGGGAACAGAAGTCCTTTTTGGACCCGATCGTGTTCCAGCAAAGAATGTTCTGGCATGCAACTGGGCATTGAGGAAATCTACTATGTTTGGACCCACTGTAGAGAATTTAATCACCCTGAGTCTCACCAAGTCCACGTGAGGCCCTGATGGCCCAGTCCCTCACTCTGCACCACACTGGCTCGGACATGTGTTCTCTGTGTTCTTCTGGGCCAGTGACATCGGGTGTCCAATGAGCCTTCGTGTCATAATGTTATTGAGGCCCAGCTTTTGATGGGTCTCCAAGGAGCCCAGAACAGAACCAGCTTTCATGTCAGACAAGATGGACAGAAGAGCTTCCCAGGTTGGAAAGGAGCAACGGGGAACAAGGAAGAGTTCACAGGCAACGGAGAACAGAAGGGGAGCTTGGGGAAGGCAGGAAGATAGCTAAGTGGGGGGGGGGATGGTGAGGAGGCCCTCCCCCTCACACCTCACTCTGGGGCCCACTGGTGCCTCCAGCGGGGCTTGGATACGCTCAGGCCATATGTCCCCCAAATCCACTTCATCTCTTTCCATCTCCCCAGCACTGAGTCAATTTGGGACCCAACAGTGAGCAGTTCGGTCTACTAGACCCTTCTGGAAGTGGCAGGGAAGCAAACAATCAAGAAATCTCATGATGTGATACACAAGGATAAAAACTCAAAGACGAAGACAGAATTCCTATTGGGTAGTCTCAGCTGATTCTGTGAGGGGCATTTTGCTCATCAATAGAATGTCTGTCTATCTGTTTTAAAAAAAGATGCCCCTCGGGGTATAACGCCTCTTCTACTTTATAGCACCACCTTCCTATATATGGATTCAAAGTTTCCAATATTAACTTTATATAGACAGAGAGTTTAAAAATCTTTTGAGCATGTTTAGACTTGGTTATTTATTGTTTTCCTGGAAGTTTCCATGCAACAAACTTCATGGGGCAATATTCTGATTTCAAACCATGGATACTACGGGGTAAACGCATATATTAAAGAGAATCTTTCACAGGACGTGCATTATAACCTTCCCTGCTTTAAAAAGCACGAACCACTTCAAAAGTTCCCTTTGGTGCCCTGAGCTGTTTAATTTGGAAATACAACAAGAACCAGTGACACCTGGCATGTGGTGGCAGAGTGAAGACAGGAAGTCAGTCAGGGCCGGGAGGGAGAGCACCTCACTTCTCAGCACCACCGTTTAGAGCCATGTGGCACTGGACAAGTCACGGAGTTATTTCTGGGCCTCAGTTTCCTCATCTGTAAAACAGGAGGACTGGTATGCACCCGGCTCCTCTACATGGGGGTCTGAGGATACCAACTAAGAACAAAACCAAATAAGTGAAGGCCTTTTAAAATCCCCAAGTCTCCATGTGACGAGAAAGCAGAAGAATTGTTCTTTAGCCTTGCTTGCTATTCGTCTCTGCTCCAGGAAATCACAAGCCCCTCTGTGCAACTCCCCGGCCTACAGCAGCAGCGGAATGCCACATGCCACGCCGACGCAAGTTGGCCGCAGCCTTTTCGTGGTGGGGGGAAGAGCGAGGTGGCCAGCCTGGGCGAAGGCAGGCCATGTTTGTGCACTCAGATTAAGATTATCTACCCTGGGGGTACCCGGGTGGTTCAGCCGGTTAAGTGTCCGACCTCGGCTCAGGCTATGATCTCGCGGTTCGTGGGTTTGAGCCCCCGCGTCGGGCTCTGTGCTGACAGAGCAGAGCCTGCTTGGGATTCTCCGTCCTCCTCTCCCTCTGCCCCTCCCCCACTCGTGCTTTCTCTCTCTCTCTCAAAATAAGTAAACTTTAAAAAAAAAGTGGTCTACCCTGCTCTGCTACATCACCCCACTGCCAGTCTAGACAAGAGGGGACAGCCCTCATTAAATGAAACCTCCCTCTGAAGAGTGAAAAACATTTATCAAGGATACACACTTTCACAGGGGGGTTTAGGCCAAAACACGTCCCAGGAATGCAAGCTGCATCCAGACTACCTGCGACCCGATAACCCACCGTGGAAAATCACCCACAGGACAACCAGACTGTCTGCAAACCCCACACACTTCTGGAAGCAGATGCCGAGGCAGATGGGACCTTGTAAACGTTTCCTATCTCCCACTTCCATCTCTTTCTCTCTGTGTTCCCTGAGTGTCTACACAGAGTGGAGACAGGAGAAAGATAAGAAAGGCTGTGAATGTCAGAGGCCGCCTAGGAATCACGGATCTGGAAAACTCATGTCCGGAGAGAGGAAAAGTAAGCACTGGGAACAAAAGGGCACGGGCGAAAGTGTGTGTGTGTGGGGGGGGGGGTGTTGGCTTTGGTGTAGATTTGCCCCCAAGGCGGGGTCTTCAGGAAGGCCTAGAGTGACTCACTTCATTGTGCTCCAGGCAGTAGATCATCAGCTCGGAGAGGATGACCACGCCGGTGCGCCCCACGCCCGCGCTGCAGTGAACGACGATGGGAGGGTGGCGGCTCTTGGCGTCCTCCAGCATGCTGTTGGTGTGGCGTCGGACAGACTGGATCTCCTCCAAGTAGGCTGCAAGACAACGTGCAAATCCTGTCACCCAAGTCCTGCCCGGCTGTGCATACAAGGCAGCGGGGGGTGGGGACTGATGGTGAAGCTTTTTTTTTTTTTAAGTGACAATAATTTACAGTTCTTACAAGACACTAATTATTTGGCCGGTGCCCACAGTCCTGGATTCCAGAAAGGACCAGCTGGGAGTCAATTAGTCCGTGGGAGAATTTGTTCTTTAAATTAAATAGTTCTTTTTTTAAAAATTAAATTCTGTTTTCCCCTCTGCAAATCCCAAAGTCCCCCAAGCAGATGATTCTCGACATTACTTACAGCAATTCCTACTATTAACAGACTGGGATCGGAACACCACTGAGGTCCCCTTGAAACGCCCGCCTGTCAGAGCCAATTTCTGGTGGGAAAAGCATCCATCTGCCCCTTCCTCCTTCTCCTCGCTGAGTGAAGGTCAACGGAGGCTTGACCTTCATTTTGAGACTTAAAAATAGACTTTGGGGGTCCTGCTTTTCAGCTTGGCTTCCATGTGGTTCTGGAAGTGGCTCAAGATGAAGCCTTCCCTTTCTGGAGGGAACATGTGTGTGGGGGTAGAGGGGTCGTGCCTCCTCCCTCACCCCTTCTGACAGCTGCCTAGCTCAGCAGGGCCGCGCAGGGCTCTGCTCACTACTCCAATTGGGCACAGATGAAAAATTACAGCAATATAAGCCTTAGTGACATTTTTTCATGGTCATGGAAAAAAAAGAGAAGTATATAAATGTAATCCTCAAAGAGTCCAAGAACCAGAAGTCAATTAGTAATAGAGATTTTTTAGTAGCTAGCTCAGGGAAGACACTATGTAAAGGTTCTAGATACTTGGAAAAATCTCCTCCTGATTCGGCATTGTAAAACGGGACCAGGGGAAGCACTCAAAGAGAACTGAGTTCGAACCATTCTGGTAATTTAAAAGCATCTGTTTACCTACAATTAACATGAACTCCAATATTTGCCTTGATAACCTTATGCTATTACAAAGTTATCTGAAGTAGTTTATTAAAATAAACTATTACCACCACCACCACCACCACCAGCAGCAGCAGCAGCAGGGTAAAATGAGCTAGAACAAAACAGAAAGAGGGAAGGCAATCTGAGATGACTAGACAGAGTAGTTACTATCAGGAACCAACGTGAGCTAGATACTGTGCGTGGGATTCTCAAAAGTTTTCTTTAAGAGGGGAAAGGAATTAGGTGACTGTGCATTCTCTGACAAAAAAGGCAATGTTCACACTCAAAAGAAAGGTTTCTCTTGTGCTGAATTTAAGAAGAGATGTAAAAGGAATACTGACCCATGAAGCAGATGCTATCACCAAGTGAAATTTCATAAAACACCGAAACTGGATTGAAGTGGTGCTCTCTCCAGCAATCATGTTAACAGAGTTCCTTAAGCTCTGACCTAGTGAGGATCCCTGCAGGGTAGAAGACAATTTGCCCGTAGTCCCCTGCACCCAGGGAACCGAATTGAAACACAGGCAAACAATCTTTTCCAATTCCTAAAAAATCTGGAAAGCCAACATGTTCATGACTCTCTTTGGCACAGAGTTTCTGAGAAACATCAATAAACTTACACTGTTTAAAAATATTCTCTACGTTTTTCAATAATTTAGATGGGCCTTCCTTAAACTGGTTCTGATGGAAAAGGTCTGACCATAATTTTAACCACCTCGTAAACCCAATCTTCTATTAGAGCTGTTGGCTGATCATCAAACTGATCTACTTTGTTTCCACTTTCTTATTTTTTTTAAAGCTTATTTTATTGATTTTTATTGATTTGGAGAGAGGGTGGGGGAGGGGCAGAGAGAGAAAGAGAGAGAGGGAATCCCAGGCAGGAGCCTGGGAGAATCAGGGTGGAGCCTGATGTGGGGCTCGAACTCAGGAACCCTGAGATCATGACCTGTGCGAGGCCAGATGCTTAACCACTGAGTCACCCAGGTGCCCCTCCCCCCATTGTTTGTGTTTTCTTTTTTTTTTTTAATTTTTTTTTTTAATGTTTTATTTATTTCTAGGAGAGAGAGACAGCGTGAGCAGGGGAGGGTCAGAGAGAGAGGGAGACACAGAATTGGAAACAGACTCCAGGCTCTGAGCTGGCTGTCAGCACAGAGCCCAACGTGGGGCTCGAACCCACGAACTGTGAAATCATGACCTAAGCAAAAGTTGGACGCTTAACCGACTAAGCCACCCAGGCGCCCCAATTGTTTGTGTTTTCTGCATCTTGGAGATAATTCTAGTAAATCAATTTGCAAAAGATTATCAGGAAAAATTAAAAAAGCACTGTTATGAGGAAAAGTTCTACAAAGGTCCTTGCCCACCTTATTAATATTTTGAGCTATAGTAAAACCGTCTGACCTCAGGCAAAGCATGGAGCCTCTCTAGATCTTTCTTGCTCCAGATCCTGTGATTCCCATCATCCTTCCGCTCTCTGTCAGTGACCACCTTCACATGGCCCACTGTCACTTCTTGGTGGAAAATGAAACACTTTCATCAGCAAACAAGTCTGCATCAGAAACTTCACGTTGGAAGTTGGGAAATGGTGCTTTTAGGTTCTTGAAAACCCAATTCTCTCTCTCTCTCCTCCTCTCCCCATGCCTCAATTCTCAATGACTATCAAAATAAAATCAAGGGCTTGACATTATCCAACATCCAGATGATGGTTCCGTTGACTCCCACCAGCTGGACAGCCAACGACACAGCAGGGAATGAATCCGCCGAGAACCCTGGGCCTAAGCTGGGAGACAAAGGGATGGGGCGTCTCCACAATCAGGAACAATCAGGCCAGACTGTGGAAGAGGAAGGGCAGCACTGTAACCATCACCAGAAAGCAGAGGACAGTGCCAGATGTCGCCCCGGGACTGCCATCACGGGCTTGCCTTTCTCACGAGCACCTTCAAAACTGAGACCGTCTCTTTTCTACATTCTGAGAGCCTGATCCGGGGCCTAGAAAGCAGTGGGCACACACCCAGTTTTTGGCTTTTCAAATAAAGTACTGAATATGTCCTAAGTCAATCAGCTTCTAAGAAAATCATACTCTGAAAAATATATATGAATTGATGAATTCAAAAATGATACTTTCAAAAACAAGTTGATTTCTTTCTTTCTTTCTTTCTTTCTTTTTCTTTCTTTCTTTCTTTCTTTCTTTCTCTTTCTTTCTTTCTTTCCTTCCTTCCTTCCTTCCTTCCTTCCTTC